AACATTTTGGTGGTTATACACGTAACCTTACCGGAAATACAACAAGACACTAACGTTTTTACACTTGGAAAATCTATCCCTGATTATTTTTTTCTTAGCGTTACAGTCCCAATTTTTACTTTGGCCTACCTTCATGAAACTCTTTGTTTCACGTCGGTTTACTAGATTTTAGACTTTCGGCAGGACTCCTTGGGCGGGTGATCAGCTCGTCGCAAGGCCTCTACCTGTACACAAACACAGAAAAACACACATACACACACACGCCCACGCACACAAACACTGAACATGTATGCTCTGAGTGGGGTGTTCGAACCCACGATCTCGGCTTCCGAGCGAGCGAAGACAGTGCATAACTCAGACCGCTCGGCTACCGTGACAGGCAACCTGATTAATACATTGGTATAAATATTGTATATTATTCCTGGAGTGTAATTACACTTACCACAATAATAGCAAACATACGCACATTTGAGAATGCTGAACCTGAACAATGAAGGATTAATAAGTCTCGACTATTGTGACTTCAATGGGGAGGCACTGTCGGAAGTTTTCTGTAACTTCAGATATTTTCCGTCAATATATGGCACAGTACGTCAGAACCCACCATTCCATATTCCTAGCCCTAGTCCATACTCACACTAATACCTCTAATAATTACTCCTTTTTCATATGAAAGATAACAAAGGGTTATCAGTTATATGGATATTATAGTGTCTGATAAGACTAGAAGTTTATAAATGCTGAATATGTAAGCACTTGGACGAAAGAGGTCTCCTTGAAATTATTATGTCATTCTCCTTGGCAGACTGAGGAATCATGAAACCTCTCTGTCAGGATAGCCCGAATAGTACCTACCGACTGTAGTTATGGAGCGCTAATACACTTCACCACATCGCCACGTCAGAAGGAACAGTCTACCTTGCTAATATGGAAGGCTCGCAAGGCAAAGGCAAAGGCACTCACTAATGCAAATCAAGTAAGGGATCACGGATTTAATCCTAATAGAACCCGCCTTGAGTTGATTGCTTTCCTTAATCAAAAAGGAAGATAGGCTCTTCTAGCTCAGGTTTGTCTGTCTTTCACTTAGGTCCTCCTGTAACGTTAACGAAGAAGGAAATAGTATCTGTAACACGTATTCCTTACGCTACTGCACTGTTCGGAACTAAATATTTCCAAACGAGGGTTTGAGTTTATGTCCAAGAATTTAAATCAGACAGAAACTGTGCTCAAGTAATAGGTCCTTTCCGAAAAGGATATATTTCACTAGTATTATCAACATCACCACCTACCACTGTTACCAATAATATTAATATTAATAATAATTATTTATTTATTTATTTATTTACGTGCTTACTTAATTGTCGAAAAGTCAGTTACAAAGAGAGCACGAGCAATAGAAACGAACAACAAAACAAGAAAACTTTCAACATTCAGACGATAATAATAATAATTTTATTAGTGCTAAAATGCCAACGTTCATGCTGTGAGAGAAATATATACACACTCACACTGAATGCAACTGATATTTTAATAATTAAGAAGGTACCAATGTGAAACTTGATTAAGAGTATCCGCTTTAGTTCCAAATAATACAACGTCCCTACAGACAACATTACTAGCTGAATAATACCTACAGAACGACAATTTTTGCCTGATCTATAGACATTGAACACAGAAAAGTCTTTGAAGTACCGAGCAGAAATTCGAACGGCAACACTTTCAGAAACCGAAGTAGGCTACAGAATTTAGTATCAAGACACACTTGAATAAGGACGGGTGCATCAAATCCTCTTCAACTCTGAAGCACAAGCATAACTATAATGGACATGGGGAAGGAGACGACTAAGCAGAGGGCTGCAAACTTCTGCTGGATGCGTTCCAATTTGCGAGCATCAGAAGATATAATAGAATTCCAAACACCAGAAGCTCACTGGAGCTTAAATCTAACTCAGGTAAAATATAACAGATATGCGAACAGTGGAGGAAAGAGAAGGATAAGACTCGTATGCAGTGAACTGCACACAACAATTTAGTACAGTCAGAAAACACATAGTTAACATTATTGTGAAGTTAAGCTTAGAGTCCAGAAATACTTGGATATCAGTATAGATTACAGAGGACTGATAAAGATCACATTCGTAGCTCTATACGTGTCAGTTCTTCTGCGGAAGAATATAACCTCTTACAGAACGCATGTCAAGCTGTAGCAGGATCCAAAGATTAAGGGAGATAATGGAACAGTAAATGTTGATATAGTCATTCATTCAACAGTAATCTGTCAGACGACATAAATTCCTACAGTCCATTCGCGGAGACGAGAGAGTCCTCGTAAACAAATGCACGCGGTGTCTCCTTCGTTCTTTGAATGAAATCATGCAGCAATCACGTGATGCATGTATCGTTGCAGGGGCGTCCAAAGTTCACTCTTCAGTCTGAATGCAGGTTAACGTGCGTCCGAATGCAGTGAGTACACTGAGTAACTGCGCGCTTTGTCTACTCCTTGCTGACAGCTGTGGCGACTCGGGGCTTGCTTTGTTTACGCTGACTGTCTCGTCTCCGCGAATGGACTATAGGTTGTTGATTGCGTCATGTACGTCACTAATATAATTAAAAGCAGATTGAGCCGGGATAGCGCATTCGGTTTAGAGACTGGCTAAGGGCTCGATGGCAGAGGGATTGGAGTTCGTGTCCCAGTAAGGTTAGGAATTTTCTTTGTTCCGCAGGCTCCAAACCGATTCTGGGGCCCACCCAGCATCCTGTCCAAATGGGTACCGGGGGATCTTTCCTTAAGGGTAAAGCGGCCGAGGCGTTAAACTGAAAAATCACCTCCAACTAGTGCCGAGATCTATACATCCACTCCCCAGTACGTTTTCATGACTTAGTGTTTAATTAGCTAAGCACATGGACAACTTTACTTTCAACTTTTCTTTTACTGAAGAGCAGAAGGTTCGGACAAACTGACCCAAATTTATTTTATGGTTATATAAATGCGAAACTACGTCCAGAACCACCGGAAATTTGTAGGGCACTAAGCGTATGAAGAAGCAGGGCATGAGGTACAACGTCAAATACGCGGCTAAGATCAAAATAAATAGCATTAGCGTCATGCTGACGATCGACTGAAAGTGTAATAACGTTAAAACTGGTTACCTTATTGGTGATAGCAAACTAATTTTTAATAAAACCAAGTTGGCAGAGATTCAAACTAGAGTTTAGTAACCTTGAACATTGTCATGATTGAGGAAATTCAAATAATATGGAAAAGTTATTAACAATCGGAATGAGTCTGCTATTTCTGGCAGAGGCACTGTTGTTTATTTTAAAAAGAGGAATAACTTCTGCCTCCTTCTGTAAGTTTGGAGAAACATTACTGAGATAAAATTTGGTACAAAATATGTTAAAAATAGATACTAAAATTAAAATATAAAAGCCAGGATTTTCAACAAGCCGAACATATTCAGAAGATTTCAAAATTTTGGGGGTTTTTGAAATACTCCGAAACGGAAAAGAAGCTCGGATAAAATCTCGGAGGAAGATGACAGAGAGGGTAAGACACCTGAGCAATTATTATTATATACTGACTGAAAATTAGTAGAAAATTCATTGGAAACTTAGCATGATTCGACTAAATGAGTATCATTAATCTTAAGCTGAAATACGAAATTTTACTCCTAATAAAAGCCATGTATTCCCCAGTTTTTCTGGGTGAGGCTTTAAATTATCATCAATGTACTCCCACTTCTAACATCTAAGTACTCGTATGTCAGACATAATTTTAACCTTAACTGCTTCCGACAAAGGGAGAATTCACTATTATTTTGAAAATATCTATAAAAGTAATTTATTTACCTGATGCATTACATTAAAGAACTAGACAAACTAACATGATAATTTTGATTCTTCGTTGGAACTATTGAGATTCTCCTGTTTTATAGCATCTTGGGCAATAGCATTGTGGCTGGCTACAGCAGGTGGTACCAGTCATATTTCGGGAGAAAGTTATAAAATAAATATAATCCCATGTCTCAAGACTGTGCTGTGAATATTTGTAATTTTGAGTAAAACAAAAATGTCAATAGATAGAAAAGGAACTTTTGACTCAAAAGTTAACCAAAATAACACTGTAAGTCATTGAATGTAAAATAATAAAGATAAATATACTACTGCTGCTGACAGATTGAAATCGTTGACTAAGGTTAAATGCACATTTGCAGGTATAGATCGCATCTCCCTCAAGTTTAGTAACGGAAATTTGGTAGAGATATTTGAAGCTTCCAATCGAAACCAAGAGTGTGAACACTCACTAACATAACAACCTGAACATTCCATATATCCAGTTATAATACTAATCTGATTACCGTATTTACGCATGTATAGGCCGCACATTTTTTGCCAAAAATTCAAGAGGAAAACTGGGGTGCGGCTTATATTCGAAATATTCGAAATCACACTTCATTTAAAAAAAAATTGTATTCATAATTAGTAATACAGGGTGTTCTACTCCTGAAATAATATTCCAAGAAAATTATTTTTTCTAAAATTTCTGTCTGAAAATTGTGCCGCGGCCTATACACGCACGCCGCCTATACATGCGTAAATACGGTACTTTAACATAATGAATCATGAGCAAAATTATTCTGACCCGACTAGAATTCGAGTATCTGATACTTTACCCATAAGCTCAGCACGCTAACCCGTGAACCACATTTTACTGTTGAGGTTTCGCTTTCTTTACTTAAGTATGACCTTAAGCATCAAAGATTATTAGGAATGAAATTCTGTGCTATGATTTATGTCGGGAATAAATTGTAACATATGTACTGAAACTGGTCTACAGGTGTTACGTATATATCATAATATAGATATGAAATATAAAAAAACATTTCATTCATGGAGCTCATGACACTGTGACATAACAGTAATATGCCGAAATATGAAATAAACACAGGCAATGATAATTATGCGTATTTCTGTAAGCAAAAGAAAGCATAGGCACTTACCATTCTGTCGCTTGAGAGACCTGTAGTTGCGCCAGGTTCTGTTGGTACTTCCTGTTGCACTAATTTGGGTGAACAGATGAACGGATACAAGTTGAAGGTCACCAACCGCTGACTAAGCAGTAAAGGAGTGGACAGAAATGTATACAACAATCTTGTCTGACAACCTGAATGAGTGAGACACCTGAGAGCCTAAAACATAAATGGGGATGATGTGAACTGGATCCATTTCACTAAGGATGGGGACAGAGGCGGGCTCTGGTGAGCAAGATGTTGAACTCCGGAGTTCATAAGAAGCGGGAATTTTGTTGAGTAATTAAGGTACTGTGTAGGGCCGAGCCATAGCTCAAGAGGTTAGTCCCTGGCTTCCCACCGCGGCGGCCCGGGTTCGATCCCGGGTCTGGTCAAGTGGGATTTNATGGCTATGAAGAATGTCGTTTTCTGGGATGTGGCGCTGTGTAGATCTTGTGTGAACCGACGTTTCTGAGGAGCGAGCGTCCATTTCAACAGGTGGCTGCAGTTCCCTTAAGAGACTGTCACTTGTCACATATCAGCAGCCTCATACATGATTCGAGGGTCTCAAGACGCTGAAGATTCACACTGTTACAGTCTAAATTTGACACCGTCTACTCTGACAAACGCTTGCCAACCTTTTATAGGAACATACTACTTCCATCTTCGTTGTAAAATAGTGAGGCTTTATGTTCCTCCGAAACTTTTGGACACCCATACCAGACCACATGACGTCATAATGCAATATTAACTGTTTTTATTGCGGCGTTTTTGCCCCATGCAAGAACAGATGAGCAGCAGGATCAGCCGTTTCTCGGTAACACGCGCAAACAATGGAATAACGGGATTATGCAATCCGCTTCTAGGCAACGGCGGTCTGCGCTACGCAACAGTAGAACTGTGTTTTCCGTTTTGTCCTTGCCGCGGATATACCAAGAAGACTTCATAGTGATTTTAAGTTCTAGTTTTTGTGTTGAGATCCATTGTTAGGAGACGACTAGTGGAAATTGAGAATCCTAGTGCGTGTGCAACGTTGAATTGTAAATCAACAATAGCGCTGTGATAATTGTAACTGAGAGAGATGTAAACGAATTGTCAATAAAACCAATCACACACCAGTATCTTGTACTTTATTAGTAATATTCAAGATAAAACCACTCATATAAATTCAAACATTATATGTGCAGTTCTCATATTCATTTTGCAGCCTGGTTTATTCCTCTGTCCTTGTTGCAGTCGTTCTCCAAAGTTCATGTTCATATGTGTTTTCAGACAACGGCCATTGCATATTTTGTCTTGTGAATCTGTGGTAAATAATCAAATTTATTTACTTCTGCCAAACCATCATTAAGGACTTGTACGATACAAATAAAAATTAACCAGATGTTTGAGTATAATCACACAAGATAACTAACTCTGTGAAATTGAGTTTGCCTTGGGAACCTCGCAGGAATTTTGCCGGGGGGGGGGAATTCACCGCCATTTATGAAACCCGAAGTTTCATTAACGCATTTTCGAAACATTACGCTGAATCGTATCACTGTCAGTTATCGTGAGCCATTTCCATCCAATCCACACTCTGGCTCACGATTTATCCAAGATTTGTATTAATACATATCATCCTTCTATCTATATCTATTCCTCCTATGCTGTCAGTAATTTCATTAATAGTGAGTAAACCTACCAAGCCACGTCACATTACGAGTTTCCTGCCACGGCACTCTGAGTGAGACATTTCATTGTGGCGAATGGGTTCACGGACAAAGAGGCCTTGAGGCGCGGTTCTTGTGCTGCATCTTGTTCGACTATGGTTCTTCCATATCGTAAGAGGGCTGCGGGTGAGCGGGGTCATGTATCAAGGCACTTGCCTTGATACAAATATCAGCTCTTCAGTACTATCTTAAACCCTAAATTGATGTCGGTGTTACTTCAGCTAATATTTCTAGGAGAACTGTTACAGTTCAGAAGGAAAGTCCATCCCTTCAGCTTTTCTGTGACCTCTGACACAATTAGCGTCGGAGGTTGGCAAGGAATTACAGTGAAAGCTTGCATTATGAACAGTCTGTTTCCTGCTGATGAACCATTGCTGCATATGTAGAAGGTGAGGTATGTATGTATGTATGTATGTAACTGTCTGATAGTCACGTGTATTTCCAAGATCTTGAGTACAGCAAGAAGACATTTTAAATAACCTTTCGAAAATGTGGACTAGCTCGCAGCGTCTAGCCAGCCCAGCGCGTAGTCTAAACAGATTATTGTGTGGTCTCCCTTCATGTGAGTTAAGGATGAACACCACCCTTTGTGGTATGGGGCGCAGGCTGGCGAACCGGGAACGATTCGAGTGTTAAGGACTGACGACGGGAAAGTTGACGTCGTAACTGAAGGGAAAACAGCAGACAAGCACTGCGAGTGAACCGCGGCTACAGCACCCTTGCGCAGAATAATAAAATGCTGTTCTATATAACATTTCTGTTGTCATGTGTCAATTTAACCCCGTCATACAAAGAATTCGCCTATCGCTCGATGAAAAAAAGTACAGTATAACTTGGTTATAACGTCATCAAAGGGACCTAAAAATAGTGTCGTTATAAACGAATGTCGTTGTAACCGAAATGGGCACTTCCACAGTAGCCTTATGTTAGTCACGTAAAAATCTACCAAAAACCGAGTTAAAATGTTGCATTTTTTAGTGAAATACGTAGTTAAGTACAGACTAACGTAACATTAACGTGGAATTGCCCAAATGTGTAATATCAAAGACATATTACAG